ACTTTTCCATTCTTACCCACGTGTAGCTCTTTGGACTTTTCTTCTTACTTTTTTATCTTTCTTCTTTTCCGTTTACTCCTATTCCCTGCTATTTGTGTTCAGAAAGCCAGCTTGTGGTTTTTTTTTCTCAAAGTCGCCATCTATATCCCCTTTACTTCTATTCCCCATTTCCCCCCTTTCGTTTCCCTATTTCCTACTTTTCAGAGGCTTTGCTGTACCATTCGGGAATTGAAGGTCCTTTTTAAAGGAGGAACGATCACATTTGTGGCGATTAGGTCTAATTGTGTTGTATTGCTTGGTAGTGATCTTTTGCATCTTCTGTGTTTTTTTTTTCCTTCGTAAGTTCTCTTTGCATTGGCTTGTTCCGAGCTTCTGTGCGTGCGTGTGTCCGTCTGATTGCGTGCGTATGTGTCCGTATGTGTGGCATTCATCTACCATATCATTATCCATCTATTATTTCATTAACAATGCATGTCTGTGGTTTTTAGAAATGAGAATCAGTTCTATCATTTCCCAAAGGTTCATTGAGTTACACTCGAACGGGTACGCTCACTTGAACTGGATTTGGTAGGTTGATCTCGTTTTTAAACTTCACAGATTGTGTTGTTTCATGTGGTAGTTGATTATTCAAAAGCTAAGCTATTGACCTCCCCCCCATGCTAGGCAGGGGATGGCGGTAGCTTAGTTTTTGGGTTGTTAACTGTCACGCATTTTATCATGTGCATGTGTATCATTCATGACATGTCACATGCATTATATAGCATCATTATATGCATTATGCATTGTATAGCATCATTTATGCATTACGCATGCATCTCTTTATCATTACACAACATCATCTAACAGTAACATATAATGCAAACAGTACAGCAAATCTACACTAAACAATTGCAAAAAAACCATATGGTTTAATGCACTATGAACAGTACCGTATTCAAAATTGCTCAACATGCATAAAGTATGGGAAGGGTATGTAGTTGACAAATTTTATTTTCATGATTTTATAAAAAAAAATATAAACATGAAAATAAAATTTGGCAAAATCGATCGTAAAGGGTTGCTTCGCAACCCAAAAAATTGCCTGGGGCCCGTCTATTTCGGGGGGAGTAGTCTACGTCGCGAAGAAATGCACGTTCCCCCGCAGGACTTCCATATATATATATATATTTTTTTTTTTCAGTTTTAAATGAAAGAAAAACGGAAAACGCAGCCTCAAGAACACCCCAGTAGAACAGCACATAAGGAACCCCAAAAGACACCCCAACGAGATACCCCCAACGAGACACCCCAACGAGACACCCCAACGAGACACCCCAACAATACGCCCCATCTAACCAAACCCCCCACCCCCCTCACCTAAACCCACCCTCTAAACCCGCATGTCCACCAAATAGGGCGCATCCGCCCACGGAGCATCCCATCCCATCTCCTCCTCAAAATCCTCCCGCTCCACCGAAACAGCCTCTGGGCCTCTCATCATCGACGCCGCGCGCAACAAGATCACACGCGCCTGAGCCCGCTGCAAAGCCACACCTATGGCCGCTTTAAGTGATCCAAGCAAGTAAGCCGAGAAACCTTTCCCCGTAGCTCTCGCCGCCCCTTTCGTCTTCGCTACCTCAATCTGCGCGTCGCCCTGTTTCTTAAGCCACCGCCCAAAACTCCCCCCCAGGCAACCCCATGTCTCAGCAATGAGAGGTGTAAACTGCACTCCCCTATGTCGCTGCAGAAGCAATTTGTAGTCCGCCGCCTTCCGCTTTTCCCTCTCTCTAGCGGCAAAACCCACCTTGCGACCAATCTGTCCATGGTGCTGCGCGGACAACGAGATAGGGTCCACCACACTAACCTCCAGCGCATGCTCCTCCCCCTCCCTCAGTCTCCGCACCGCCACATCCACCCTCTTCCCTGGCAGCAACGTGTCGTCTTCCATGGTCACGACCCCACCCGCCCCTTTAGCTATCTTCGCCACCACAAACTTAACCGCGTCGTGAACACGAGAAGGTGCGTACTGGTACTTGCAGCGAAGGGCATGATGCGGGTCAGAGGGATCAGCAAACTCAAACCCACACGCGCACTTGCCGGCGACTATCAGCTGCTGTATGGGGAGGCCTAGGCGCATGGACGCACAGATGCTCCACTCGGCTGCGGTGAAGGTAGCCTCTTCGTGCGAAGGGACGGCGGAGACCCATGCCCCTGCCCCCGGGCCCTGAAGGGATGTCAAACGGGCCATGGTGGCGTCGTCGTGGGCCATACCCCGAAGAGTCTGCAGACTCTCAACCGCTAGGCGACGGTGTTGTGTGGGGAAAAGCAGCACAGGGGGGTCAGCGGTGCATAAGGCTAGGGGTGGCATCTCCTGCCTGACCGACTGTGGCAGCAGCTCCATTGCTCTCGCAAACCAAGGATCCAGCAAGGTCGTAGCCTCGGGCGTGCGGAAAAACTCCTCAAACATCCGTTCCTCCCCTGCCACCCCCATCCGAGCCACATCGCTCACTGCCTGGCACCAACAACATGCGTACGACAGAGGGCTAAGGTCAGCTGCAGATCGAATGCCAAACCCTCCAAGTCTGGCTGGAAGGTGCAGCTGTAGACGGGCCATCTGCGACCTTGCCGAATCATGATCCCAGGTGCTATCTGTAAACAGCTGCTCAAAACAATCCTCAAGCTTCGTGTCCCAGTCGCGGAAAGCCTCCAAAACCTCAGGCCGTGGAGGCATCGTCCTTGTGAGGTAAATCGGGCGCGCTGACACTGCGATCGCCAGCAGATGGGATGCAATCTGTGGGTGGTCGAGCAAAGGAAGCCAAGGGACAGGTGCATGCAGCTGCATCAGCCGGCCTCGCAAGCTGGCCACCTCCCACTCCTCCTCCCCAATAGGAACCCCCACTACGGTGAGCCCCGTCCATGTTTGCTGCATGCCGGGCGGGACGGTCTCGTTCCTCTCCTCTCCCTCCTGGTCCACCCCTCGCTCCCAAAGCTTGCACTTATGCGGCTGCACCTCCAGACCAAGCCCGCCCAGTCGTTCCCGCAAGACCTCATAAGCTGCTAGCACCCGCTCCCTAGGCCCCAAGATGTACGTATCATCGGCGTAGCTGAGAAAGAGTAGGTCGGCGAATTCTTGTTTGGTGGGCTCCATAACCAGCTGCTGTGTGAACGCGAACAGAAACGGCCCCAATGGGTCCCCTTGCCTCGATCCTCGCTCTGAAGCCAAAGCTTCGACGAAGGGGCCCGCACGGAGGTAGAGGTCGCTAGGAGTGCCGTAGAAGACACGCAGGAATGGGATCAAACCCGCAAAAGGCGACTGTCGAAGTCCTTCAAACATTTCCCGCCGATGGAAGGAGTTGAAAGCATTCGCCACATCAATTTGAAGCGCGCACCATGACGGGTGAGTAGAGATGGCAGAACGAAAGGCATGTGCGAGGACTTCCACTCCCGACCTGGATCCGACTCCTAGCTGGTTACACGGCGCAAAGTGCGACATCATCTTCGGCCGAAGCACGATGCATAGGGCCCGAGATAGTATGCGGGGGAGCACCTCGCCTATAGCCACCGGGCGAACGTCACCATTCGGCTTCGACAGGCCCACAAGGTTGGACGCAGTGAGCCAGGGTCGCACGCGCTCCGCTACCTCTCCCTTGGTCCACTGGGTGAAGACTCCTAGCAGGTGAGGCAGGTATGCGGGCTCAGAGAGAAAAGTGTCGCGCAGGTGCTCCGTCACCCACCCCGACGGTCCTGGTGCCGACGCCCTAGCCGCAGAGTGGATCGCCTGACCAAGTACCTCCACTGAGAGCTGCGGGATAAGGGAAGGCTCAACTATCTCCTCCTGCAACCACTCCGGAAAGGCGGTCTCGCTCGATGGGTGTTTCGCTCGCAGCGCGTCCACCATGTGCTGAGAGGGCTGAGCGATGCTACCGGCAGTAAGACACGTCAAACCCCGACTCCATTCTCCCACTTTGCACCTTGTGCGGCAGCGAGCCAGGCGCACCGCATCAGGATCATGCTCGGGGGGGGTGAAGGACAAAGGACGCGCCGCAGGTTGCATTACCGCCACCGCCAACTCAAACAGCTCCCGCCACTCCCCGACCCAAAACTTCTCCAACCGCTCCCTGATTGCCGCCCTATGCCCCTGGCCTTGCCCAGTTGGCATCCCCAAGATAAGACGAGGGAAGGCCAAAAAGACCAAGAACGCCGCCTCGTCTGCTGCCTTTAACTGTAGCCGCTTCAGGACACAAGACAGTGCATCAAGCACCCCCAATCTAGCGCGCTGTGGGATACGACGCATGATTCTCCCTGGCACCAATTCGATCCCAAAAAACGACTCCCAGTCCCATGTAGGAACTGCGGCCCATACCTCTTCACTGATATCACGTGGTGGCGGGGGTTCGCCGTCCGAGTCATCTGTGACGTTGGGCGTCCGCTGCCCTGCAGGCCGACATATGGCGTGTGGCCTTTCCTCTCTCCGTGAACGTGCGATAACAGGTTTCGCACGGAATGCGGGGCGGGGGTGTCAATGTAGGGTCTGGGTGCTCCTCTCCACTCGAACACGCCGGCAAGACCCTCCTGCTAGACTCCGTCTCCATGCCCCCCTCTAACGGCCTTGCAAGCTCCATCCCTCCGCACTGCAGCTGCTGCTGCCCTCCGCTCTGCAACTGCTGCTGCCCTTCGCTCTGCAATTGCCGTTGCCCTCCGCTCTGCAGCTCCTGCTGCCCTCCGCTCTGCAGCTGCTGCTGCCCTCCGCTCTGCAGCTGCTGCTGCCCTCCGCTCTGCAGCTGCTGCTGCCCTCCGCTCTGCAGCTCCTGCTGCCCTCCGCTCTGCAGCTGCTGCTGCCCTCCGCTCTGCAGCTGCTGCTGCCCTCCGCTCGGCAGCTGGTGCCCTCCGCTCTGCAGCTGCTGCTGCCCTCCGCTCGGCAGCTGCTGCTGCCCTCCGCTCTGCAGCTGCAGCTGCCCTCCGCTCGGCAACTGCTGCTGCCCTCCGCTCTGCAGCTGCTGCTGCTCTCCGCTCGGCAGCTGCTACTGCCCTCCGCTCTGCAGCTGCTGCAGTTTGGTTGCCCGTCGCCTCCGGCCCCGGCCCCGCGCTCGGGGCCTTTCCGCTTGGTCCGGGGAATCAGGGTTGGCATTCTCCCCCTCCATGGGGCTTGATTCCAGCTCATCGGTGCAAGCCTCGTCCGCCATCTCCACATCCAACACCCAAACCGGCTCTTGCTGCCCTCCGCTCTGCAGCTGCTGCTGCCCTCCGCTCTGCAGCTCCCGCTGCCCTCCGCTCGGCAGCTGCTGCTGCCCTCCGCTCTGCAGCTGCTGCTGCCCTCCGCTCTGCAGCTGCTGCTGCCCTCCGCTCTGCAGCTCCTGCTGCCCTTCGCTCTGCAGCTCCTGCTGCCCTCCGCTCTGCTACTTCCATATATTCTAGGGGATGTGCAGTTGCGTGTTCCCCCCTTCTTCCCCCATCCTTCTCCGCTCGACCTCCCCCTCCCACGACAAACGTATGCATAGCTTGACTGAGCCATTCCTCTCCTCTCCAATCCCCGCGCACGACGGACGGCTCTCACCCGCCGGGCAACCAAAGAACGTGAATGACAGACGCGCCGCACCGTGCTCAATGCTCATTTCCCTGCAGTTCCAGCCAAGCCAAACCAGGCATTCAGTTCAGCACGGGATTGCAGTGCTCGCTCGGGGGTGCCGTTGGTCGGTAGCAAGCTAGTTATGTCACAAGCCGAGGTGGCACTCGCCGTCCGTACAACCCTTGTCATTCCCCTCGCGTCTGCCCAGTACCAGTACATGTCCCTGGCTGGCCCCGTGCCGGCTTGCTCGGGGTCTGGGTCGATGGTTAAGCAATGATGTCATGATAGTGGCTTGTTCATTGAGTAGATATGTTCCGCAAGGGATATTTCCATGAGTTCGCTCAGCCACTAAATTGCGGCGTAGCCACTACCATCGCCAACCAGCTTGGCATCACCAGTCGCTTATCGGCCCGCTTGGAATATCGCCTCGCTTCGCATCGCCTTGTCGCTTAGCATCGTTGCATGTCGGTTAGGATCACCAGTCGTTTAGCTGCCTGACTCTCAGCATCACAAGCCATTTATCTCCAGCTGTTTAGCTACCTGTGAGGCCTCCGTAGCTCGGCCGCGATCGCCATCTCGACGCCGACGACGGCCGTGCGATCTGTCCAAACGTGGGATGACCCATCGATAGTAACCGTGCGAGACGCGCAGGCGTACCCCGATCTGTTAGTCTACTTCAATTTCCGCGCAGAGGAATATCGTACCCTAACTTATATCTCGAGAACTAGTAAAATCTAGGGCGAAAACAACAATATGATGATGAGACGACTGTCCGGACATTTTCGAAGGATTGGCGTTTTCCTTTTGATGACTGTGCTATGTGTAAACACAAGAACTCTCGGAGCTGAAGCCGCAAGTAGGAAGGGAAAAAACCGGCCGACACAATCGATATCGGGAGCTGTCGTTTCTGCCGGTACAGGATTGACGCTGACGCTGCTACCCAACAACCGATACGGCGCGAAATGCCTGGACGGCAGGTGAGCTACTCGTAATGACGCACGCGATATAAATCGCACCTCGTGGTTTGGTCCGTGTTGGGTGACTTTTGAGACGTCTCAAGAACGTGTCGGGTGGCATGTCGGCGACTTGTGCAGTGTTGGACGGCAGGTCAATATTTTGGGCAATTCTGACCGACAGTGTGAGGCTTGGGCAGTCAAGTAACTACTGCAGTCGTGCAGTCTTTACCCTCACATTCTACAACCCCCCTCATAATTAGCCGACCTGGTCTATTTCCTGGTCATGCGGCTTTGTGTGCACTGCTTTGGTGATCCTCGTATGACTTTTTGGTTGATTCGACTGTCCTTCTTCTCCGCTCCTGGTAGTCTTCTCTCCTCTGCACCCCGCTCCACATGCCCCCCGCTTCTCTCCCCGCACTTCGCTCCCCCAACTTCGCTCCCGGCCCCGACGAGCACTGGGCGTTCAACGCCGATCGTACGGACGTCGCCGGCGCAAGAAGCAGCAGCAATTTCGTTCGAATATACAGTTCCTCCCTATCCCCCACCGTCCGCTAGGGTATTCTTCCGTCTCTCACCGTTCCCCACTCCGCTAACTCCGGTCTACACCCTTCCTCCACCCCCACTCTCACCTCTTCCCCCCCCCCCTCTCCTTCTCTCTTGCCACCCCGCTTCCTCCCCACCTCCCTCTCCTTCCTCTCTCCGCGATCATCGCCAGAGTACGTTTTCGTCACTCAGTCCCCTAAATTCTCCATCTCCCGCGCCCGATTCCCTCTCCCCCGCCGCCAGTCCGCCAGGGTACTACTTCCGCCCGGGATTCGGCAACGGCAGCAGCTCGTGGCACGTGCACTTGCAGTACGGCGGGTGGTGCACCACCCTGGGGGACTGCAGGTGGCGCAGCCACACGTGGCTCGGGTCTTCTAACGAGACTCTGCAGAACCAGAACCCGTGGAAATTCGTGAGTGTTTTAATGGAAGGATTTGCTGCCAGGCATGGGGAAAACACGTTAGAGCTGGGTTGGAGCATGCTGGGATGCGCACGATACTTCTATAGCAGAATCTGCTAAAACACAATAAACAACCGAGCGATTTTACGCAATCTGTGGTTCATTGTATTTTCTTTCCCCTACGCGAGTCCGCCTTTTTCCACCGTCTTTTAGAATTATGTACATTGGGGCTGCACTACGCCTGCAGGCATGGGGTTACATGGGGATTCTCAGCCTGAATCGGGGCATCAATCCGCGTTTTTACAACTGGAATCTTGTGGTCCCGATTTACTGCGATGGTGGCGGATTTGCCGGGCGCGCGGGGTTCAAGAACTGGAGCGAGACGGAGGGAGTGTATTTGGACGGTTGGAAAATCATCAAAGCTGTTATCGCGGGTGGGTAAGCTAATCTCGATGGATTGACTGTACTCGCTTCAGGAATCACCGAAAATGTCAAGATTTCCTTGAACACACGACTCAGCTTACTGCACAGTGAATGTTGTCACCGTGACTTCAAGCTCAGCTGCATGTTGCTTATAATTGAAACCCTTATACTCTCTTCATGTCAGTCTGCTCGGTTTTTTCTTCCACAACCGTTTCCTGTCAGGAAAATTGAATTTTCTTTGTCATCCTTGTCTCTGCAAGGAGCTATGATTTTGCAGGAATTGGCTTCATAAAACTCATCTGCTGGCAACCTTGTCAAAATATCAATTGCACCTCATTCAAAATATTGTTGTCTGTGTGAAACCGTGCACAGACGTGGCAACCTCCAAGGGCCTGAAGACGGCGTCCCAGGTGCTGCTGTCGGGGGTGTCGGCGGGAGGAGAGGCGGTGGTGACTCTGTGCGACCAGCTGCCCGCCCTCGTGCCCTCCGCCAAAACCACCAAGTGCCTCATGGACTCGGGCTTCTTCCTTGGTGAGCCGACTTTGTCAAAACCACCAAGTCCCCTTCCTCTTCACTGCTTCCCCTTCCTCTTCACTGCTTCCCCTTCCTCTTCACTGCACCATAAACTTCGGCTTCTTTCCTGATGCATTTGGCTCTCTCTGCCGAATAACTCCCCTCTTCCCTCTTTCTCCCTTCCACCCCATGCCTCACGGACTCTGGCTTCCTCCTAAGTGAGTCCGCTCTCACCACCCTGCTTTCCCCCCTCGTCCTTCCACCACATGTGATCCGGCCTTTTTCTTCATCAGTTGCTTCCTCCCACCTTTTCCACAAAGTGCCTCACCAAGGGCCCTTGGTGCTCCCTTGGTGAGCTGAATCTTCCCACCTCCCCTTCCCTTCCCTTCCACTACCAAGTGCTCCATGTCCCTCAGATTCTTAGGATCGACAATTTTAGTTAAAGTTGGCCATGTGAGGGGCTATGCCGACCCTCGATTGTGCAGTCCATGTGTTTCTACCCGTATGATCTACGTTTGAAAATGTGTATTTCGTTTGACCCTCTCGTCTCTGTCTGACCCTCTCGTCTCTGTCTGACCCTCTCGTCTCTGTCTGACCCTGGTCGAGCCTGCAGGCTTCTGTCTGCCTCTCTTTCATCGTCTGTTGGGCTCAGTTGTTTCGGTTTTACCCCTTACATGCAGACTTTTCAGCCAGGAACAAGCGACCAATCAGCCATGCAGACCGCTTCGAAAAAAGAAACCAGCAGCTGGTGTTGCTGTGTGATCTCAATTGGACCGCATGCCTCACACTGCAGATTCGGATTCTGCTTTCATTCCCCGTTGACTTTGTTTGACTCTCCTGTCTCACCCCTGCGGCCCTACAGATGCATCGGACATGAGCAAACAATCAGCGTTCCGCTAGGGAATTCACTAGTTGGTGGTGACGCAGGATTCCGTGTGGACCGCACCTCTCTCACACTTCGGATTCGAATTCTGTTCTCACCACCCGTGGGCGTACAGACGCATTTGATGTGAACATGCAACCGACATTCCGACAGAGAATTCAGCAGCTGGTGGTGCTGCACGATTTCATCGGCAGCCCGCGATGCAGCAAAGGTGAGTGGCAAGCAAGTTGGGTGTAACTTGATTGCTGCAGCAGTGATTTGGGTGCTGACGTGACGTGGCTGTTAGGTTTGGGCTGACATGTGAAAGCCAGGTGTTCATTTCTGGAGTGATCTAGGTGACACATGTGCTTTGTAGACGTGATGTTTCAATGCGTGTTGTAGACATGTGCTTTGGGATTCGTGCAGCACAGTTGCTGACCAGAACAGAGGCACTTCCGGCTCTATTTCTTTTCCATCCAGAAACTTCTTCGTTGCCACATTGCATTCTCTCCCCTGCATCCCCCGTCTATTACTTTCCTTAATCGACTCAAGAACGTCAAAATCGTCAAAATCGCCTTGACACAATGTTCTGTCACTCCCCGCATTCTCCATCTCTCTTCATATATTTGCTTCTTATTCCCACCATTCACCCGGGTTCGTCTCACGTTCCTATATTTCCTGTTTATCCTGCCTCGTCCTCTCAACAGCCGCGAATGAAACCGAAAAGTGGCGCTGCTTCTTCCCGGAGTACTCTCTTCCGTTCGTCCGATCGCCCTTCTTCATCCTCAACTCATTGTTTGATGCCAAGGCCCTGCAACTTGGTAACCAGCTGCCAGCAAATAACATGACATTCACTTACGAATGTCTACAGGAGATAATGGCTATGCCTAGGCTGGGGCGGTCCATTCCAAGAACACCTTATCAACTTCTCGCATTTAACATTTCTAGTAGAAAGTGTACGCTACAGGCAAGTAGGGCTGTGCTTGCATACTCACGGAAAATGTGGACAGTTGTTAGTGGCATGGAGGATAAGAAGAGGAGGGCGTTTCTTGCTTGGTCAAATAAGCATGGAATAATGGTTGGCGGTGCTTGGACCACCATGAAAGAAGGTGGGGTGTTTTTGCGTGATGCTGTAGCAGAATGGTATTTTTCTTCATGATAATATATTCTCTATTGAACATGTATAGACTCGTTTGTGGTATTACTGCTAACTCTACAAAACTCAGGATCCATGATCATTTTTACAGCTGCCCACCCCTATAACCTCCGCCTCCACGAGCTGCACCACCAGACGCAGCTCCTTGGGTAGCCGTACCCGGGCCTCTACCCTCGCCACCTCGACTGCCACT